GCATTCCTGACAGTATCACATTCAAAAGATCAGGTCGGCTGGAGAGAGACAGACAACCCTAAAAAATTATCCCTCTGGCCATGGTTATTGCATAAAATAGGTTGAGGCTGGGTGGAGCTGTGCTGCGAATTCTAAAGAATATATAAACACTATGTACTATACCACCAAGAATGATAACAGGTGAACAAAGCTAACAGGTGAGTAAGAGAGGTGCCAGCCAAGCGCCATTTGTCCACATCTCTATACAGTCCTGAAGCTACTGTTTGATCAAAATATGCCAGGCAAAATTGACATACAGTATACCCAGGCAGGAAATAGTGTTTTTTACTTCAGTTAGACTGAATTCTGCATGAATTCATTCTGACTGGAAGTGAAGTGAAATCCAGTTTGACTCAGGCATGTAGGGACTGTCACTTATGGATTTATACAAGGTGAACTGATAATGTAGTAGTCAATGCTAACTCTAATATCTCTTGCAAATCTGCTCCAATCTACCATTCACTGCACATCTTCAAGGGTTTATTAAAATATAGGCATTACATCTTGAAGTGTTTTTAAATAAATGAGGAGGTCAAGCACAAAGGAAACGGACAGATTCTTGGTCTCCCTGCAACTCATACAGCTGGCTCTGTAGCTCTAGCTCACTGTCACATGAAGGTGTTGTTGTAAGGTTTATTTCTGAACTTTGCAGAGATCTAGTCAAGCTTTAGATGGCTGTTTCTCTGTGCATCTAGTCTTCATGTTGCTGGGGCAGAATCAGAGAGAGAGAGTAGTAAAATGTATTTGGACTTGCTGCTGCTCATTGTCTTCCCTGCCATAATCAATAGAGCAGCTTTATTTATACAAACCATTGTAATAATAGAACAATTTGAAATACCTGTATTGATATTGTATCATGGAATTGTATGCAAAGACCACACCATATAAATCAATACATGAGCTTCTGGAGGATTTTGAAACAGATTCATATAATTGTAGTTGATGAATCTCAAACTAAACAAGAACATTTCAGTGAACTACTCTTGTGTAGTTTTGGCAAGTTGTCACAAATATTGACTGATGTAGAACTGCCTTTACTTGGGGATAGTATTTCCAGTAGGTTCACAGAGCAAACAATGCATACAGGCTGCCTGGAGGCTTAAGCTCTCACCCACAGCTAGGGTAAATGTACCATTATATGACACCTCATAGAGGCCCAAGTGAAGCTATATTGCTCTGTGTCTCTGATGATACCACATTACCCTCGTAATGGTGCATCTACTACTGACGTTTTACTTGCGGTGTGATAAATCTGATACCTTGAGAAAACAGAGCTGCTAGGATTGGGCGAATGATTAAAGGTGCATGTGATAAGCAGACAAAGTGACAGAAAGACAGATGAGCCAACTGATGATATGCATTTTGAAAGAGTGAAGACCATCATGAAAGTGCAGATCATTAGTAGGCAATTTACAGCCAGGAGATAGATGGAGCAGAAAAGCAACAGATAACTGCATTTAAGATAGCCAATTATTGGCCTGCCAGAAATCCAGCACTCCTCAGGGAGAGTTTGAAGCTAAACTAGGCATTTCTGCTTGTTGTGGCCCCAAATAGCAGCATGAGGTAACAGCTTGAAACATATATACTTAGGAATTGTGATGTGAGCTCGCACTGTTAACCTGTCTGGCATTGACTTATGCCAAAGGGCACAGGAAGCGAAAGATCTCATGTTGGTAAGCTTTGATATTGATGTCCTTTTCTTTTTTTTACTTCTTCTATTCACAAACTCCTAGTCATTTATGTTCTGGAGGGACTTCAACTGGGCCTCTACCTGAGTCTTAAAACCCATCCTGGCTGCACCAACTGATATTGCCAGACTGGAGAACCGAGCCTGACCTGAGACCTGAATCTACAGTATACTTTTGCTTTCTTTCCTCCATTACTGACTGGTACTTGTCCAAAAGCTTTACACAAGCAAAATAGTTTGGAGCCAGCAAGTTATTAGTTTGGGAGGCAGAATTCCAAAGGCCTGCTCAGACTGAACATGAAGCAATTTTTAGAGTCTTAGGTAGCTCCAGACAAAGTCAATGAAATGATGTGAAAAGGCACAATAAATTACATTCACTTCCATGGGGTAGAGATATCTCAATTTTTTAAGATTAAAACATAAAATAATTAACTCTGAATGCGAAGCTACTGTATGTGATTCCACTTGATAAATGTACAGAGAGGAAAAACAAAAATCTGTTCTTGTTAACTGTCTATGATGAAAAGTAGATAAAGCCTGGTTAGAAAGTTGCTAGGTTATGTCGAATTAAGTGCTAATTTGAAGCGGGATTCAATGTGATCCTAAAAGACAGAAACACAGAACGGCCAATATGAACACTAAAAAAACGGATCGATAACTACAACATTTGAAAGACTCAGTGGGAAAACTGGTATTTCCCTTCTTTCACCATTTTCTGTATGTCTGGTGTTAGAGATGTGCGCAGGGCATTCTACAAGTTTTTTGCGTCACTCGGTTTCGCTCCTGCGTCTTTATGGCATTTATGGAGAAAGTTGCCTCACAGGTGTAGGTGGAAGGAAACATAGTTGCACATAAAAAGCAAGCTCCTTGAGTGTGCTGTAATCCTCAGAGCACGCGAGCCAGAATGCGCACACAGACTCCGCGCCTTGTAACTTCTCATGCCTCACTTTGCGGTGGAAAAGACACCTTGAAAGCTTCGTGTTGTCTCGTGGTGTCGTCTAATGTTGTATTCTTTGCAAACGGCGACTACCTCGTTGCAGATGAGACACACAGGCTTGGCGTTCACAAAACCAGGTAGGATGAAAGCATACCTGTCCTTCCTTTCTTCTTTATATGTCCTGTTTTCGTTGTCAACTTTCCTCTTTAGGCCTTTCGAAAGCGACATTGTTTGCTTGCTAGCTTAAATGTGGAGCCAATTGTAACTAAACAAATAGCGACAACAACATTGCGCGACCCCTGACATAGCACCTTGAGCAAAGTTCGCATCCAGTCTGTGCAGGGTGCCTGCTCACTCGTGCGTTGGAAGAACTTGTTAAACAAACAGCACACAGAGGAGCCTATAGAAACACCTTGGAGAAGGGGAAACTACTGGCTCCACATGAAATGCATGTATATGTATAGTGTATCCAACCTGTGGTAAAACACAGCAAATACAAACTATACACTTCAAAAAGAACTGTGGACTCAGTAGTAACAGATATTCTTCTGTTTCTATTACCTGTTATGCCTGTTTATATTTGGAGATACACAAATATTGCACTTCGTTTTTAGTTGGAGATTTGAAAAAGATGTGAGAGAAAGACGGACATGTATAACTTTAATACAGTGTTTTATTTATATTATAATTTATTTTTTCATTAAAGCTACAAAAATGTCTGTGTATGGTGTCAATTACAGTTGTTAGAAAGAAAAATCAGTATCAGCTAAAATCTGAATCAGCAGGTCAGACTTGGGGAAAAAAAATCAGAAATTCAAATCAGCCCAGAAAGTTGCAATCAGGGCATCTCTACTAATTTCTATATGTGTAATGTCATAACTAATCACCTGTACAGGACTAAAAGTAAAAGTAAAAACAATAAATTCAAGATAAATGCAATTGGGCCTGAAATACATTCACTTTTGTAAACTCTATTTTGAAAATAAAGTGAAAGGAGTTTCCCAGAACACCAGTGTTAATCAGTCACTGGTCATCAGGTTAACAGCTCAGTCATCTTTCGGTATATGACAGCAGATTATCCCCAAACTCGTTTGTTAAGGATGCTAGGATGTTCTTCTTTTACATTCTCCAACCTCACCATTTAAAACACACTCTGGTTTAGTGTAGCTTTAAGAATGGAAGTTTGCCACAAAACCTGATGGCAGAAATATGATGGAAAGGGTTTGCAGATGTGGGAGGGAAAGAATGAAGGGTATGATTTAGCCTGCTACTCCTGAAGAAATACTGCCGTAGCATGCTGAGGGTTTCATAAATTCATCCTAGAACACTCTGCACAGCTGCCATTTGTCCAGCGTCTCAAGCAGTGCTGCTGGTGTTTTCTGCACACTAATGCAGTGAGTCACCCCAGGTTAACTATCCTGAGATGCATGCAGCTCTCATCCTCCAAACCACAGTTAATCAAACTCCCCATGGAGAATGTAAATGCTGTGTAGTAGCTGCCTGTCAGTGTATAGTAGACTCTGGAAGTTATAATTGAAACTCTATCTAATACGCCCTTTAATAAGTGACCATAATTCTAATCTATTTCAGAGAAAGTGAAGAGGAGGGTTGAATGAATGAGGTTTTAGGCTTTTGCTTAATTTGTCTATGTGAGTGAAAGAGTATGTTTCAAAATGTAATCGGGAATAGTTCAGTCACTCTCCAAGTATATCCAGAATTCATTTTCCGCAGTGAGCCTTATTGCTGTGATAGGGCGGAAATCATTCTTGTTTGCTTGAACAATGTTTCATCAGCTTCCTCCATTTAATACAGTTTGTAGACAGCCTGAAGTATTGGCTCACCACCAATGCCTGTACACCTAACATCCTCAAAACAGATGAAATCACAGCAATGTGGTCAGACATGCATTTTACACCCTCACTAAATAGCCTTTCAAAAGCCACCAGCAAGGCGGACAGGTTTTGTTGAGAGTTGTCGTCCTTCAGAAACTCACCATTTTCTATTTAATGTAACTTTCATCTTCCTGCTTTCATCGGCCTGCTCAGGTTGGGGCCATTTATTTGGTTCATGATGAAAGTTGCTGTGCCACTAAAAATAAGTCATTGGACTCTAAATCTGGTGATTCTGTGACAGGGGCCTCAGAGGAGCTGATCAATACCCTGATGATGTCATTGTCCTGTGGTCCTGAGTACTGATGATACTGGACTCACTCAGGAAAGGTTTGTCTGGTGGTGGTGCTCACCACTGAGCAAACCTGTGAGAACTCTCAAAGGGCTAATAAGTGAGACAAAATTTCCAGTGTTCCATGAATATTTCATTTTTCATGGCTGTTTGTAAGCTTGAAGCTCTCAGAAAACCCACAGCACTTCAAACAAGAACATTAGTCTGGATTTAACAGCTACATGGAAAGAAGGTGAAGAGAAAAACAGCATCAGTTGATGTGAGTGATTGCTTCATTTGAAGTCGCACGAGGGACTTTGCTGCATTTTTAAAATCTGCATGCTTTTGGGCTTTTCCCTCTATTTTCATGTGAAATTAGAATGGCTCCTTGATTGAGCTTCAGGCTGCTCAAAATAAATTAGACCTGACAGCTCAGACTCAGTTTTCCAGACTTACAGGGGTAGTCTGAAATGCTACATTTCAATTGAACATGGATTTCACATTAAAACATTTTGACTTACACTTGGATATTTCAGCATTCATCCAAAGATGGTCTTTATTCAGCTGAATAAAGGATAAGGCCAATCATTTTCTATATTATTAGTATTTTCAGCAATTTCCATACAGAGACTAAAATCACCAGTGAACTGCCCCTACTCACGGTTAATGTCTGTCAGTCCAGGATTGGCTTGTTAGTCTGTGTGATAAACCTCTATTGTTGTTCAAAAATGATTAAAAACACATCAGGGAAACACACTGCCCCACTGGGTGATGTTTTTTTTATGACAAAAGCCCAGACCTGACTATATTTCCCCAAAGACTCTGAGCAGCCATAATTTCTTGAAGTTAGCGCAAGTCAGAGTCAACTGTGCATGTGCTAGATCTTGCATAAGCCCTCAACTTTGTTTACATTCTGCTAGCTTGTCACGCTCTGGTCTGGTGTTTGCTAATGAAGAAATATGTCGCCCAGTGTAGTGGTGTGTTTCACTGATGTGTTTTTAACTTTTTAATCAACACAAGAGGTTCAAGACACAGATGAAGAAGCTAATCCAAGACTGTCACAATGAAGGCCATTAACTATGAGTAAAGGCAATTCATTGTTGGTTTTATTCTCTGTATAGAGGTTGCTGAAAATACTATTAATATAGAAAGTGACTAGTTTAAGAAATTATGAAATGACTCTGCTTACCAGTCATGTTTGACAAAAGCCGTTACTCCAGTTCTAAGATGAATGTAAGGCGCCAACTATGACCTAGAAGGGATGAAGTGGATCTGAATATAGACATATGTCATACAGTAAATTAAAGCTGCAAAGCAGCTGCAAAGCTTTGGGAAAGAAATGAAACATGTGAAACTGTATCAATTTAATCGTAATCTAATCATACTGGCTCAGAATAAAAAAAGATGAAATATTATTAGATGTATTACTTACACAAAAGTTGAATTCTTTTGTGTTTTTTTATTTATATGCTTCAGCAGGTTCTTATCAAGTAATAATTCCCATTTTAGAACAAATGTGTGTCGTTTTCTAAAAGCTAAATTGGAAGTCTTCTTCAACATGAAATTAACAACAACCATTTGTGACTCTGAAACCACACTCTCATAAGGTACTGTATTTTTAGTCAGTTAGTGTATACAGATAAACAAGCCAGGATGAAGAGCTTTTTAATCTTTATGATACATTCCTCCTTCAGCTCACTGAAATCAGGATGCTGGATATCACCAGCTCAGTTGGTCACTCATCCAAAATGTTTCCATCTACTGTTTGTGAAGAGTTGTGTATGTCTGTGTATCAGTGGGTATTAATATGCTTCTGTAGCAGCATCCATTTTTTTGGAAGATTTTCCACAAGATTTTGGAACCTGGCTGCAGAAATCTGTTGCCACTCAGTCACAAGAGCACTAGTGAGGTCTGCCAGTGATGCTGGGCGATAAGTCATGCGTTGGTTTATGCTTCAGTTCATTCCAAAGCTGTTGGAAGAGGATCAGCTCAGACCAGTCAGGCTCTTCTACACCAAACAGGAAAAACCATTTCTTTTCAGACCTGGCTTTGTTCATGTTTTATCCAATTTAGCTGCTGTTTTATTCATGTTTTTATCATGTTTTCTTTCTGTGTGCATTGTGTTAAGCACTTTGAATTGCGTTTGTGTATGAAAATGTGCTATATAAACTTGCCTTGCCTTGAGGATGCTGTCACACTGAAACAGGACAGGATCAAACCATACTGTTGGACAAACATTCTTGTTTAAAATATCATTATTATTAAATCTTAACTGGAAGCAAAGGCAGGCTGGGGGCTATACACAATATGTGCACAGAGATCACCACCCTGGGAAGTGGAGTGAACCCTTCTTTGCCTATCAAAACAATGCCACAATGTAAATGAGGTCATTCACACTGATGAACTTAGAATCATCACCTGAATCAGCTTTACAAAGCTTTATAGTGTGCTCATTTTTAAGTCTGTAAAGTACTGTTTTGATTCAGTTTCACTGGTGGTGATTTCAGCCAGCCATTTTCTACCTGCAGACAAACACAGTTGGGGACTAGCTGGTGAACACAGAGTAGCGTTTATCAGCAAAAGGAGTTGGTAGAGATCAAAGTAGAGTCCAAAAAACATAGCTAAAACATGGTGAACATTCACCAGGTGGCCAGAACCATCTCGTGCCATCTTGTTGACGTGTAAATACAGTAAGTGCCTGTTTGCTATAAAGTTGGCTATGTCTTAAAAATCAATGTTACTTCAATGTTTTGATCACAACCCCATGCACTAAAATGGCCAAAAAAAAAGATAAATCACAGGTTCATGTCACACCTACAAATGTCTAGCAACTGCATTTCTTCATGTCAGAAACCCTATATACTTTAGTAGAAGAAAGGAAAGACAAAGAATAAAGTAGTTTTCACTTTCACGTTCTAATTTTTGTACTAAACAAAGTTGAGAGAAATATTATGGTGTAAATATAATACACATATAATTGCTGTAATCCACTGTAAAAAGGTGCTGATTTGGCTTATTAATATATCATTTAGCTAAAACAATGTGTTAGCAATTTCCATTTCTGTTGCACTTTGCTTTACTTCAATCTTGAAAACAGTATTTTCTTCAATTCTCCATACTATGTTTTCTCCATATTTTCATGTTCCTCTTGTTCATCTAGTTCTTTAACATTTCTGCCGTCTGGTTAAAGCTTCTGAACTGTTGATCCCTGTGCCTCTTAACATTAAAGTTGTTTACATCTCAGCATGAATGCCACTAAAACACACTTGACAGTGTGTTTATTGCACCTGGCAAATAGGGAGTTTAATTCTGATGCTGTTTATTCCTTTGCACTTAGGAAATGGAGCCTTCTGATGAATCTTAAAATTTCACTTATAAAACCTTGATTTTAGCAGCATTTGTGCTACAGTGGAAAGCAAAAGTTTGCATTATCAGAGAGTATGATTTGTACTGAGGCAGTAAGAATGAACATTTGGAGGAAAAAGCTCCCTGTGTGTGTGCCCTTGTATGTAGACACTGTGAATCAGCAGCATAGCTCTGGCGATGTGTATGGTGAGCTAAGCAGGAGTTAAACATTAACTGTCACTGCTTTTATTTGTTTATTTTTACTTTGGGTAACTCTTTAATATTCAGTGGCAGCCCAGGTTTCAGGATGTGCTGTTTTGTGCACTATAAATACACCAGCTGAAGCTGCCATACAGCGACCGTAAGACATGGCCCTGTACTCCCGCCGGGGTTCATGTTCTGCATTTAGCAGAGAATGGACTTCATTACATCAGTGATCTTTCCCCTCTCACAATGAATTCTCAAGAGGGGACTTTTAATTGCTACAAGTTATTCATCAAGTGTTGATCAGACCTTTCTGATTAAATTTCAGGTCAACTGACTACGGAGCAACGTACCAGAAGCTGAATGACAAAGTAGGAGCAAAGACAATACTCAGCTATTTGTATGTGAGCCCTAACAACAAGAGGAAGGTAATGTTCTTCTTTTGTTATTTGCTTTGAATTGAATTCTTCTGAAAATAATAATAATTGAAAATAATACATTTCACTGTTGGTCTGATAGACTACACAATGCCAGATACATTCATTCAAATGAATTCTTTATTGTTTGATATGTGTCTCCCTCTGTCAAGTTCTACAACACCAGGATGATGTACTGAATAGTATGTCATTTATTTATGTGTAGAATTTAAGTAGATATTTAGGTGATGGCAAAGAAAATAGTCTCCATTTTCTAAAATAAATGGCTTTAGTTTCTCTTTTTCCTTCTGTATTTCTGAAACTAAATCAATCAATCATAAACCGGGTGAAAAAGTGTAAAAGGAAAGGACATAGGTACATATTTGCAGCTGTTCCTTCAGGGAGTGCTCTTGTATTTTTTGGGGTTTGGGTCAATTGATGCTTATAACCACCTGTCTGTGTTCACTGCATAACTTCACCTTTCTCCCCACACACAGCTCTAATCAGGAAGGGTCATTTTCTCCAAGTTAATTATTGTCTAATAATAAAGATTAAATGCAGCCCCACCTCATTTCAGAATCCCAGCTGCCTACCACATCCAGTTAGGTGGTCTGACAGTGATTGGGACCTTCCTGAGGTCAGTGAAACATGTTGAGCCAGCTGATGAGACTTAGATTCAAAGTGACAGAGTGAGTGGAAGCTGAGCATAGATTAAGCCACCCTTGGCTATACAGGGAGGCTGGAGAGATTTGGACTCAATATGAGTCAAAAAGGAATTTGGTTTTAACAGTGTTATTTTGTGAAAACTATACAGACACATATGCATTATGGAATAGAAGGTAGAATCCCTTGAGTACCAAACCTTTTATGCATAAACATGAAATGCAATCCAGGAAGTGCAGTTTGAGCAAAAGATCTGTGAGTCTCAAGGTTCATCAGACACCAAAATACTTAGGAATTTTACCACTCAGGGAAGCAAGTAGTGTTTTGTAAAACCTTTGTGTAGAAATATGTCATTCACATTGCAAAGCAGTTTGACTGGTATGCAGTTTCAAGTGTTTGGCCAGTGAAGCAGCTTGTCGAATGATGTTGTATTGCATTCCATCAAAAACTGAACCAGATTCAACACTAGTGCTACCTGAAGCTTCTGCGTTATCACCCCTGTGATGTACTTGAAGGGGCCTCACTTAACTGAATGAGGAACTTCAGTTTTTTACAACCGGCTAATGTTGGTTTCAACACAGATTTAGTTGTACACTGTGGACCATTTTGTACATATTTGCATGTCCTAAATATTATCACCATAGAAAAAATAAATGGTCCTCTCCTAATTCTGCGAATGGATGTTTTACATGTAATGATTAGGACCTATTTTCAAGTTGGATGAGGCAGCACATTACCAAATGGGGAGTGTCAAATCATTTTATGTGCTCGGGTACATTTGTGTCAATTTACTCCAGTTCAGTTAGAGATTTGGGCATTTTTTGCAGTCTTTGTTTTTTTCTAATTTGGGTTCATGTAACACAATCATGGGTCCAGACATGTTTGCTCAGAAGGACTTTTTTTTCTGTTTTCTTTGCCCCATGTGGGTTTTAGTGCAGCTAGAGAGAAGAACAGCAATGACAGTAATGATGACAGTTTTAAACTTTCCAGTACAATGCATTTCTGTGTTGTTTGTAATTTGTGACATTAACCAGGTCTAAATAAAATTTGACTTAACTTTATACTTATTTCCCAGGTATACACCAAACACACTGATTTTTAATTTGCATCTTTATATTGCCATTATTTGGCACACACTCATCTTCAATGTCAGTTGTTTAGAGATTTGATTGCGCACCTGTCCATTAGCTATACACACTGACAATGTTCCTTGGATGATTGTGGGAGTGGGTGATATAGAGGGCAACTGATCCAGCTCCAGTGGTTATATTAGCTTAAATGGAATGGTCTAAGTTGTCATATTAAAATTTAAGGTGTGTTTAATTATTTATGACAAGCATATGTAGGGCTTGTGTGTGTGTGTGTGTGTGTGTGTGTGCGTGCCTTTGTATTACTTACATCATGAGGTCCGAAACCTGTTAACACACACACTGTGGGGACTCGGCCATCCGTGTGGGGACCAGAAGCTAGTCCCCACAAGGAAATGACAGAATTTTAGGGTTAGGATGAGGTTAGGTGTTAGGGAAGTAGTGGTTATGGTTAAGGAAATGAATGTAAGTCAATGTAAAGTCCCCCCATGGAATGAAGGTCAAAGGTCAAAGTGTTTATTTGTTACATGCACATTTAGGAAATGTGTTTCCCTGTACAATAAAATTCTTACTTTGCCGTCCACATGAATGCCACAAAATACAAATGAAATATAAAGTAGATAAATAAGTAACACTAAATCTAAGGCACTTTAGGCAGCAAATGCAGCAATATAATAAAAAATATATAAGAATATAATAAGAGAATGTATGCTGCATGGGAGCAGCATGTGCAGCAGTCAACAGTCAATGTGTAATTATGTGCAAACTGAGAATGTAAACAGTACAGGTGGAATTACATGAGGTAATTCCTGATGGTTAACTCCTGTCAGCTGTTTAGTAGTCTGATGGAAGTCGGAAAGAAAGAATTTTTCAGTCTAGGGGTCCTGCATTTCGGCCCAAGGGCAGAGGTGTGAGCAGTCCATACTGGGGGGTGGGTGGGGTCCTTCAGGATGGAGGCAGCTTTTCTGCAGTCTCTGCAGTGGTAGATGCTCTGCAGAGAGGGCAGTTGAGTCCTGGTGATCTTCTCCACAGTTTTTACCACTCTCTGCAGGTGCTTGCGGTCCATAGCAGTAGTGCTGCCATACCAGACAGTGATGCTCTGGACGTTGCAGCTGTAGAAGTTGCTGAGGATCCTAGGCGACATGCCAAACCTCCTCAGCCTCCTCAGGAAGTACAGCCGCCGTTGGGCCTTCTTGACCAGCTGTGTGGTGTTAAGTGTCCAAGTGAGGTCCTCACTGATGTGGATGCCCAGGTATTTGAAGCTGCTCACCCTCACCACTTCAAGCCTCCGGATGAAGAGTGGCCAATGAGATCTTCTCTCCTTCCTCATGTCCACTATCATCCTCCTTCATCTTGTCCGTGTTGAGGCTGAGATTATTGTCCTTGCACCATGACACCAGACTGGCCACCTCCCTCCTGTAGGCTGCTTCGTCCCCGCCAGTGATGTGACCTATCACTGCAGTGTCGTCCGCGAACTTTAGGTTGATGTTATCTTTGTGGGAGGCGACACAGTCGTGAGTGAACAGGGTGTAGAGGATGGGACTGAGAACACATCGCTGTGGGGTGCCAGTGTTTGTAACAATGCTGACTGAAGTCCTATTGCCAATCCTGACAGTCTGAGGCCTGCCAGACAGAAAGTCCAGGAGCCAGTCACAGAGGGTGGGGTGCAGACCCAGTGTGGACAGTTTGTGGGTGAGTTTGTGGGGGACAACTGTGTTGAAGGCAGAGCTGTAGTCAATGAAGAGTATCCTGATATAGGAGTCTCCATTTTCCAGGTGAGAAAGGGAATAGTGGAGGGCAGTCGCGATGGCATCTGAGGTGGCCCTGTTGGGCCGGTTGGCATGCTGCAGGGGTTCCAGAGTGTCCGGTATACTGCTCTGAATGCGGGCCATATGCCGGACACCCTGGACCCCCTGCAGTATGCCTACCGGCCCAACAGTGAAAACACAGCGTGTGAGGTTGTGTGTGTGTTCTGCCAATAAAGCGTCACTCAGTGAGTCTCCTGAGTATAGACAGTGTCTCTGGTGTTGTTTTCATGTTTTCTTGCACTCACCCAAGGAAGACATTACATGGTGTCAGAAGTGGGATTGAGTCTCAGTGAGTTGCCATGAGTTCCAAGAGATACCAAAGCAGTTTATGAGCTAATACTAAACTGCTATGACTGAGGCTAGGCATTTTTGCTCGTCAAGCAAGAATGGCACGAGACTGAGTCTACCATAAGGATGTTAACATAGCCCCTACTTTTATCTGGACATACGTATAAGTGTGAACTGGAGTCAATGGGAACAACGTTTTCATATTTACATGACTGTGAGTGGCGTTGGAAGCAAGAGAAAGTGAAAATAGCCATTTAATTGCATGCGCTAGGAGCAGAGGCAATAAAGGTTTACAACACACTCAGCATTGACTTTGGAACAGAAACAGTAGATAAAATACTACCAGCTTTTAGGTCATACTGTCAGCCAAAGAAGAACACTGTGTTTGAAAGACATCAGTTATGGGCTCACGCCATGACTGATTCAATCACTGTAGATGAGTTAGTGAATAAGCTGAAACAAAAAAGCAGATTGCGAGTTTGGAAGCTTAGAAAGTGATATAAGATACAAGGTTGTGTTCACTATTACTGATCAGCATCTTAAGGAGAGAATGCTAAGGGAGCCAAACCTCACCCTAGAAACGACGGTAGACATATACAGGGATGCTGAAACAGCCACGTCTCAGATACAAGCAACGACTGGTGACAAATTACAACAAAACAAGACAATAAATCAGTCAGGTCAGTTAGGCTACCAAATGCCATGTGAAAGTTCCGGACTGAGCTACTCTTCTATGTGACCAGACACTCCCATACACCAATCCTACGCTCATTAAAAGAATTGATGCCCTAGACACTGCCAGTCCAGTGAGATTTAAGTCTCCAGCAACAAAGGCAGAGCTAGTGGAGCTTTACCCCTTAGTGTTTGAGCAACACAACAGTGACACATTTGGTGACATTCCAGGTGTCCACATAGTCGTAGATGACATGGTCATTGCAGCCTCAACAGAAGAGGAAGATGACGACATTCTCCACAAGGTGATGTAGAGGGCTGACCAAGCCTGTGTGAAACTCAACAAAGATAAAAAACAGTTGAAGGTGGACACTGTCAAGTTCCTGGGGCATGTGATCACACCAGCAAGAGAGCAAGTATATGAGTCCAGGGTGCAAGTAATAGTGGAAATCCTCTCGCCTGAAGACAAACCTGCACTACAAAGACTGTTGGG